TTTCCCCCCCGCCCCCCTCTTTTCTTCTCCTTCCTCCCCTCCTTCCTTCTCCTTCCCCTCCTCCCTCGCTCCTTCACCTCATCCTGCCCATCGCCATGTTCGCCCCTTTTAGGAAGACGGAGGAATGCGGAGCGGCGGCGGCTGGGGCTGCCAAGAGCCCGAGGGCCGCTGATTGGAGCCTCCGCATCAGATGGGGCCGCGGCTGCCCCCCTTAAAGGGACAGAGCCCCTCCGCCGCGTCGCCACGCGCGACCGCCCCCCTCCACGCGTGATTCCCCCCCCCGGCCATCCCCTTCCCCCCCCCACTCCCTTGTGGAAGCAGCACCGACGGCCCTCGTCCTCCGTGAGCGTCCTTAAGTGCCCACTGGGGAAACTGAGGCACAGTAGGGATCATTTCCTGAGAGCGAACCCCCCACATTTGGCTTTTTGGGTTGGGAAAGCTCGGTTTGGGGAGTGATGGGGTGATAATGAGCTCAGTTTGGTTCAGAAAGGGGTTTGTGGAGCAGCTCTCCTGCCATGGTGGGAATGTGGAGGTGTCCCTGCCTGTAGCAAAGGGTTTGGAACCGGACGATCTTAAAGGCCCCTTCCAACCCAGACCATTCTGTGATTCTATTTTAAGGCAATTTTGGGGTCTCATGGGTGAGGTTTTGTGATTTAGCTGCCAGCGCAGCGTGGGTCTCACCAAGACCTCCCCACCTCCCCGTTTCAAATCACACATCTCCCCACGCACCAAAATCAAATCCCCATCTACTGCCCTGCAACCAAAAACCACAGCGGCTCCGATGGATCCCCAAAACCCCATCTGCTGCATCTCCATCCCACCTTCCCGGCCATTTCCCTCTTGCCAACCACTCCCTTTTGCAGACAGAAATGCAGTAACGTCTTGCACTTGTTTAGACTCGGTTGCCGTGCGCTGTAACTTCTTCCAGATGTGTACGGCCCTTTGCATAATGTCGCTGCAGCCACGTCCTGCCTGCGCTCCGTTTCCTGGGTTTATTTAATTTTTGGTTTTAATCCTGTCTTGCTTTCAACCCTGCTCTATAGGAAAAAAAATCCTGGCCGAGGCGACCGGCTCTTTTCCCGTATCAGAGAGCTCTTCCCAGGATGACTGCTTGGCCTCCTTTACGTGTCTCCATGCCTGGAAGCATTTCCAAGAGCTCCACGAGATGCTGGAGGACACCCAGCGGACATGCGGACACCGATGGGGTGAGGGTGAGATGAAGGCTGAGATGGGAGTAAGGGTTGAGCTCTGTTCCGGGGCCCAAATCCTGCAGGCAGGACAGGGGTGGGAGCAGCCTGAAGCCCTCTGAGATTTGGAGCTCACGGGTCTGAAGGAAGAGGGGTGCTGGGTATGGGCAAAGCCCATAGGGTTAGGGTTAGGGTTAGGGTTA